TATCAAACTGATATAGGTCAATTTGCAAGGTAGGTTACTATTTTAAGCAATTCAACTTCAGGGTGGTTATTTGTGCAACGATAAATAATACATACCACCCCTCTGGGGGAGCATCTATTTTGCTGTGGAAGAGGACAGAGGAGGGTGACTTATTTCTATAAAGAATAAGCATTATCCATACATTATCTGCCTCTAGACATCAGTGGATAGAGTCCTGGTAGCTTAGTGGGGTATGTGTTAGGCTGCAAACGGCAAGGTTAGCAGTTCAGAACCATGAGCCTCTCCACATGAGATGAGGATATCCAGCCCCAGCCCCTTTGATCACTCTGAAACGAAGACCCCTCCAAGGGCTGGCTGCTATTTGTCCCACTCTGTTCAGGGCAGGACTGACTGAAAGCAAGGGTTCTCAACCAGTGGGTCTTGACTCCTTTGGGGGTCAAATGACCCTTTCACAGGGGTCACCTGATTCATAACAGTAGCAAAATTATAGTTATCAAGTAGCAACAAAAATAATTCTTTTGGAAAATAATTTTATGGTTGGGGGGAGTCACCCGGAGGAACTGTATGAAAGGGTCACGGCATTAGGAAGGTTGAGAACCGCTGGACCTGATCTGAGATTTCTCTTCTGCTCAGAGCCAAGTCTGAGAGGCTCATGAGTGACAATCAGACAAAAGGCTTCAGCTCACAGGCGAGCAACAACACTGAGTTGAGAGGGGGTGGAAGAGCTCAAATGTTCCAAGGCCTCCTGGAGATTTGACTTTCCTCTTTGCTGATGCTTTTAATTTTTGCCACAGTTGTTCCATTTCTAAGTGTGGACGTTTGTGAGTGAGAAAATTCTTTCTTGCACAGCCCTTTCCTATCTTACTCAGGAGAGGAAGCACTCAGACCTCAGGCTCCACCATCGAAAGGTCAGGCTGGCCTTAAGACAAACAACTGAGAGAAGCCATGCAGCCGCCAGGGCCGTGTGCCCAGAAACCCTCCCCCTCCTGCTCTTAGTTCTGCCCCTTCCTCAGAAAGCTCCTAGGCTCGATGGGGAACGAGTTTAAAGTAGCAACAGAGAAGAGGTCCTGGGGTCCACTCCAGGCCTGGGCTATCGCCAGGCCCAAGGACTGCTTTATTCAGACAGGAAAAGCCCAAGTGGAGCTCAGAGCTCCGCCTCGTCTTTACACAGCGTGAAGACAACAGAGGGCCCGGCAGGAATCTAGAAAAATAAAGCATGGTTCGAGTCACGCTGAGTCAGCTTAAGGCAAAGACTGGCCAGAGGGAGGGAGAGGACGAGGAGAACCCCCTTGCCAGCTCCACCCAGGCCGGGGCCTAGCGGAAGTAGTTGGGGCATTCGTGGGCAACCAGGTGCCAGGCTCGATCAAAGGCGTCCACGACAGCAGGCTCCAGGGCTCCCTCCTCAGTTGCTGCCAAGTTCTGCTCCAGCTGCTCCAGGCTGGACATGCCCAGGATGACCGCATCCCCGTGGGCACCCTGCAAAGGACACAGCTGGGCTCCAGCACGCTGCTGCTGCACAACAACCTCGGTCACACACTACCCTCAACCCCACCCTGCCAGGGCCAGGCCCTGGTGTGCACTTATACCCTGTAGCGTTCCAGAAGGAACGGGTGGTGCCTTAGACCCGGGGACCTCAAACTCTGGCCCAGGGGCCACATGCGGCCTGCAGAGGACATTTATCCAGCCCACCGGCTGTTTTTGCCCCACCGGCTGTTTTTGCCCCACCGGCTGTTTTTTTTACTTCAAAATAAGATCTATGTGCAGTGTGCATAGGAATTTGTTCATAGTTTTTTTTTTTAAACTATAGTCCAGCCATCCAACGGGTCTGAGGGACAGTGAACTGGCCCCGTTTTAAAAGGTTGAGGACCCCTGCCTTAGACAGTTGTCATTATGGGATCCTAAGCCCTGCATTCTTTCTCCCTGCTGTCACGCTGCCTCATCCTCATGCAAACCTAGCAGAGGGCCCAGTTCTTCCCCTCAGCAGCTGTGTAGACTGGGCAGAGTGGCTTAACCTCTCTGGACTCAATCTACCTTGCAAGGTGGTGATGGAAATTCAAAGTCACCTAAAGCACTCAGCTAGGGAGCCCGGGTGGCGTAGAGGGTTACACGTTGGGCTGCTAACCTCAAGGTCAACAGTTTGAAACCACCAGCTGTTCCACGGGAGAAAGCTGAGGTACTCTGCTCTGGTGAAGCTCCAGAGTCGTGGAACCCCAGTGGGGCAGTTCTACTCTGTCCTGTGAGGTGGCTAGGAGTTGGGACGGACTCGATGGCAGTGAGTTTTTGAGAAAGCACTCAGCTCCCACTGACTGAGCTCCTACTGGATACCAGACTCGACGTCACTGTGTGTCAGGCTGAAGTTGGAGGCAACCTGGGACATTAGGAGAGAGGGATACCCCCAAGTCCCAACTGAAAGAGGAGGGAGATGAGTGGGTTGTGAAATCAAACTGGTGTTAAACTTTCTACCCCCTTAATAGCTGTGAGGACTCGTTTCCTTATTGGTAAAACCGGAGCATCAGATTTCCTAAGGCCTAAGTCATAATGAAATCCAAGTTTGTAAAGCCTTTAGAAAACTGCTGAGGACAGTGGGAGAGCTGCCCAAGAGAGAAATTTCAGAAGAGAGAAAACTGTTCAAAAACTTCAAGGAAGGGTATTCTGTTTCCCTAAAAAGGCAGACTCTAAGCTTCCAGGGATGCCGGGCTTACCTGGAGCTGGGAGTGGTGGTACATCCACCGCAAGGCTGCCGAGGTCATGCTGGGGGTGCTGGGTCCGTAAGCCGCCTGCAGGGCCTTCTCTACCAGGGCGATGGCCTGGAAGTGGTGCTCCTTCCAGAAGCTGGGCAGGTGGGGAGGGTGGGATAGAGGTCAGTACTGGGGGGAGGGGGTCACCACAGTGACTAGAACCCAAGAGCCAAGCAGAGCAGCAGCTCTACCCTAAGCCCTGCAGTCCGGAAAGGCTGGTGGCCTCTCTGGTAGGGGTGTTCCTGCTTTCTGGGCATCAGGAAGGCCTAGGATGCTGACTCTTGTTCCAGCGACACTGCTGACATCTCTGGTTCTGAGAATTCAGAGCACCCGCCCTAGTTTACCTAGTGAAGCAAAGGCAGCTAGACAGGTGGCAGGGCCAGGCCCACGCTCAAGCCAGGGCTTTTCTTTTTGAGATCCAAGACCTGGAGACTTAACATAAGGTCTAGAGAATCCTCATTCCCATGCCAAGGCACACCAAAGGGGGATAAGCTCCATGGGGGGGCTTGGTAATTCCCTTAGGAATCAAGAGTTGTCAGCCTGGACCCCTAGCAATATAGCTCAAAGTGCTTCCCTTTCAGAAAAAGGGTCTCCCACCCATCCTGATGGAGACATACACCAGCTCACCGATTCCTGTAGGTCTCAGCCCAGCTGTTCCCAAAGAAGCGGCCCACAGGCTGTCTCCCGTCCTTGTCCTCATACTTGTACTTGCCAGTTAGCAGGCCCCCTGCAGGAAGGCTGCAATCAGTCCCC